GGCCCACAGTTTTTCAGGCAGAGGTTCTGGCGTACCAAATTTCTTAATAATTGCGTACTGCCTTAAGAACATTGACTCAAAAAAGTTTCTTAGCCATTTCTTGTACGTCATTTTATATGGAGTTTTTGCTTTTCTTGAGAGCTGCATACTGGCCTTAAACCTTTAAAGGGGGTTTAAAGTAGGGTTACCAGATGAACAAAGGACAGGTAAGATTCAGAAGGAAGACGCCTAAGGTACAACATATTTAAATAAACACGTTTTAAATAAAAAAAATTTGTATGTACATATACACTTGTGGTCAGCTGATTAAGTTAAGTGACATTTTGACCATGTTTGGCTATTTTTTTCTTTATTTAATGTTTATAATTTTTTTTTACAAAAGCGTTAGGCATCGTATATCATAAAAAACCACATTTCAAACTTTGTACAAAAATTATAAAAATTTAACCAATTTTAGCCATTTCCGCTAAAAATTTTCAACTTTTTATTCAGAAATTTTCAACAAGTTTTAGGTAGGCAATTTTATAGTAATTTGAATTTTAATAGAACAAAGTGAAAGTTTCAAAACGCTAGAAAATTTCTTTTTATTCCGGCGACGAGGAGTTGCCTGTTTAATTGAGGCTCGATTACAAAGTATCTCGACAGTACATTGTGACGGCTGACCCTCTATGTCGAACCTTAGTCACGCTGCCTTGCACCCGTTTTTATTGCACAGGGGTGCATACGGTGGTGAACCAATTTGTTTTTTTATTTTTTATTTTTTGAGCAGGTCCATTCCAAATGGCATTATTGATTTTTCGATGCTGGGGCCTGGCTACTACTGAAAACTGTGTTCGGTGCCGCGGCGACGCCGATCAGCTTTTATCCGTTGCTGGCATGAAGGCTGAAATTTCTTTTTTCTTATGCACAATTTGAACATCTTTGCGAGGGCTGCGCCCCTATGCTTCCTCTACGCGTTCGTAGAACTCCTCTTTGGTCTCATCGCGCTATTCCTGCGACGGTGCGTGCCCAAAAATTAGAATAGTGTTGTTGAATTTATTTAACATTAATGTGGATCATGAAATTCATTCCCTAATGGGAGTGAGACTGGATAGGAGTTCTTCTAATTACAAATCCCACACCGTCTCATGGCATCTGCAAAAGATCTCAGATGCTTGGTATTGGTTTTATTGAACTGCGGTGATGTCAGCCTGGTATCTTACTATGTTATGCAGAATTTGTACAAAGTCGCCTTCCCTATAGATGGTCCGGAAATTCCAGGCGGGCATCCCTAAAAAGTAGTCCTTGCCCGGTGGGGGGGGGGGGGGGGGGTAAATATCCGAGGCCTTTGTGGTATTCTCATTGGAGTAACTTTTTTACGTGGTAGGTTCCAAGCCAAGCGCATTGCCCATTTCGGCGTTGTCTGTCATGAGGCGTCACCAGTCACAGTCACGCTACCCTTAAGACAGCCGTTGTTCATCAATCACGCTTCCTGGATAACGGTGTGATGGTCGAGTTCAAGCACGTCAGTACTTTCATTTATGTAGCAAGTGACGCGATCTGGAAATGCCAAGTGAAGCCAAGTCCTTCTTCAACTGGTCTTTCCCTTGCTCTTCCACTGTTACCAGCACCGCGATTTGTGTTGTCTGTTTTCAGAACTGAAGCGTTTTTATCCATTCGGACGTATGTACTTGCCGGCTCGGCGGAGCCGTACTACATAGATAAATATATCCATATCGTTGTAAAGCTCATACACCTCATAGTTCCACCGTCTGCTTAGCGTGGAATCTATTACTCGACGGGCTTTTAGGGATGAACGTTTACATAGTAAGCTGTTAGCTTAAAGGCAAACGCCTGCTTGCAGCTGCTCATACAGGGGAAAAGACGGTGTTAATTTCGGCGAACCCGTATACTGAATACGTAAGAGTGATCCCACCAAAGCTCCAAGACTCGACACAGGTTTGTTACTGCACCTCGTATGTAGATTGCTCGCATTGCTTAGAGTTATCGACGGGACGCAAGTGTCGGGATTAATAATAACAATGCAACTGCAACTGCGCCCCGAGAAGGAAAACCATATCCACTGGGATTCTCCATCATCAGTTGTGGATTTTTCCAGTTTTTTCATTACCAATGCAATCGTTTACTTTCAGAAGTTCCTAAGATTAACTTTTATTTCTTTACATTTTTCTACAAGATTTTTTTAAAATAGTTATGTATGTGTGTACATTAGGGTGTTCCTTAGAAATAAAATGAACGATTTTTTTCAATCTCACCCCTCAATCGGTAATACCACGATCACAGATAATAATAATAATAATAGATTGGCGCTTACACGTATGTTAGTGTTTGGCCGAGCTTCTCCTCCGATTTGAGGCGTGCGCCTTGATGTTGTCACACAGAGCGGAGGGACCTACAGTTTTACGCCGACTCCGAATGGCGATTGTATTTTTATGAGAAGCTGTTTTTCATGGCAGAAATACACTCGGAGGTTTGCCATTGCCTGCCGAGGGACGACCGCTGTTAAGAAAAAACCTCTTCTCTATATTTTTGCGATGTTGCTTTGACAAGGGTTTGAACCCAGGCGTTGCGGAGTGGAAGCGCGCACTGCTTACCACTACACCACAGCGGCTGTCAAAGCGATCACAGATATCACATATAAATTTTGGTCCCGACTGCAGTCGGTTAAGACGTTTTTATACGGTAATCTGAAGTTTGACCCCTGTGCGACACGCCTTAATCGACTCCAATCAGGTCCAAAATTATATGTGATATCTTTGATTAAAGTAGTATCGACTATTGGTATTAGGTAAAATAAAAATTAATTTGAATTTTTTTAATCCTCCGTAGAGGAATCTGAACTTTACCCCCTGTGCGACACGCCATAACCGTCTCAAATCGGGACCAAAATTTATATGTGATATCTTCGACCATAGTAGCATCGACATAGGGGTGAGGCTTGGTAAATCTGATGTAAAAATTTGCTTCCTACATTTAAGGACCACTGTAATGTACATATGTAAATGCGAAATTCTCTACTCGCCATCAGGCCATGTGCGCTCTACGTCTTCAGTGGGAAATGTACGTAACCAATAAGCGTTATCAAATAGCTTAAAGCCTAGCTTCTCGAATATGCCACGTGCGACGCGATTATCCTTGTTCACCAGAGTCATTACATCATCACCCAGCTCCGCAATGCGTTGCGCTGTAGCCGTGGCAATCAGGCTACCCAAACCGCGTTGCTTGTGCTCCACCCTCACTTGCAGAGCGCCGAGAAAACCGCCTTGGTATCGAAGCTAAGTTTTTCTTTTCAAAACTGTTCGCTAATCCAAGTGCACACAGTTAACCTATACAAGTTCTGCTATGCACATATGTACATACGTACTTTAGTGGCAACTGCAGCACTTCCATTCTGGGCTTGTAGT